ATTAAAATTATTTGGATAATAATTTTTATAAATAAATTGGGGAATATAATAATTTAAATATATTAAATTTATTTTTTTTTTAAAATATATATGTTTAATATTTTTTTTATTTATTAAAATATATCGGGAAATTAAGGGGTTTTAATTTTGCCGGAGAAAAAATTAGACGACGAATGATCCGAAAACGTAATAAAATACGGTTTTTTCTTATTAATATAAAATTATTATATTATAACATATTATATTAACGATATGTTATAGGTAATCTAGAAACGGAATATTAAAATAATAATACAAATATAAAATAATATATTTTTTTTCTAGAAAACAAATTTTTATATAAAAAACCCTCGCATAAAAAATATATATATATAATTTTTTTTACACACATATATTTGTACACATAAACGCTTTTACACACAAGGCACTTTTACACACAAACCTTTTTTATACACAAATATTTTTACATACAAACAATTTTTTATACAAACACTTTTACACACAAACACTTTTACACAAAAATTTTTACATACAAACACTTTACACTTACACATTTTTATACACAAAAACTTTTATACCCAGACCCTTTTATATACAGATGTTTTTACTCACAAACACTTTTATACACAGATATTTTTAGACACAAAAATTTTTACACACAGAAATTTTTACACACAAATATTTTTCTACACAAAAATTTTTATACGCAGACGCTTTTTACACACTAATACTTTTTACATACAGATTTAGTTATAGATGTGTTTGATCCTATTTAGTTCCATTTAGTTCCTATAAGGTTTTTTTTTCTTAATCTAGAGTTTTCTGGGCTGTAGCTTTCTATTTAGTAGAGGTAGGTTAATTAAAAGGGATATAAAAACATGTATAAATAAATATCCCTTTCGTTTTTTTTTTTTCGGGGGCGAGAGCTTCCTGGTGCCGGCAATGCCAAATCCCTCGCTTAGGTACCTCATTAATTAGTTAAAAGAAAAGTAAGGTTATCCATAAACAAATAAAATCCAAGGAGTAAGTTCATTTAACCCTATTTATATATATATTAATTTTCTAAATTAATATAATTTATCCTAATAAATATAAATTAATTAAATGGTTATCGGGAGCAACGGAATAAATGTTTTTACTAAATGGTTTTTCAATTTTGTGTTATTTAATTATAATTATTTTATAAATTTTATTTTATAATTTCTATAAAATAATTTTTATGTAATTTTTTTTTTTAAATAATATTTTTATTAAATAATGTTATTTAAAAAAACAACATTTAACATCATATAATTAACATATAATTTTTACCTCTTTACTAAATATAAATCATAAATCTAAAAATATTTTTACTTAATTTCATACTAAATTTTTAATTTATTTTCCGGGACCTAAAGGGTTTAGT